TCAAAAAGAAGGAGATACAGAAAGAAAGACCCTCTGTCTGCTTGTTCACTCTGCAAGTGGCCACAATGCCCAGAGCTGAGTTGATCCAATCTGATGCCAGGAGCCTCTTCTAGGTCTGCCACACAGGTGGCTTCGGGCTATCCTCCACTGCTCTCTCAGGCCACAGACAGGAAACTGGCTGGCAAGTGGAGCAGCCAAGACACAAACTGGCACCCACATGGGATCCTAGCACATGCAAAGGCAAGGTCCCTGAGGTCACTGAGCCATCACGCCAGGCCCTCCAATATACTTTTCAAAATTTACTCTTTTTTTTTTTAAGTTTTACTTTCTTGAAAGGCGGAGAACATTAAAGAAACAGCGATCATCCAGCTGCTGGCTCATTCTTCAAATGGCCTCCACAGCCAGCTCCCTACACAACCAAAGTCAGAAACACGAAACTCCATCCTGGCTCATTCCCCCTAAATGTTAATAACAGTCAGGGCTGGGCCAAGTTAAAGCTGGGAACCGGTAACTCAATTTAGTCTCCCATTGTGTAGCAGGTACTTAGGATGTTGGAATCAGGAACTGAGCAGCAACTTGAACCCAGGTACTCCAGTGAGGAATATTACCATCTCAAATGAAGTGTTACCTTCTGTGTCCAACATCTATTCCCAATAAGCTTTGTGTGTGTGTGTGTGTGTGTAATGTAATAACAAGTGGAAATAACAAAACAAAACAAACAAACAAAAAAAAAAAACAAGTACCAAGTCATGAAACAAAACAGATTTCAAAGAGTGGGTGTCCTAGAGATCTCATTTGATATACTTTAAATCTCTGTAAATTTGGAAATGAAAATCCTAAATTCTCAGTAACCCCTCACTACCCACTGAAGCATTCAACTATTAGGGCAGCTCCTCTACTCATAAAGACTCTCCTGAAACGGCCACGACTGTATACTGGACCTTCCCTTTACACTTCAGCTCCACCATGATCACAGTTGATCAAACTAGCGACAGAGCCCCAGTTCAAACTGGGCCGATCAGATTCAGGCTTTGAGATGGGACTCACACAAGGGCTGTAAATTGGATGCCATTTTCTTGCTGAATTTAGAGGAATGGGGTAAGCTATGCTGCTATGAGAAACCAAGGATTCCAGGCTAAGGAGTTGATTAGCCCTCGTTGGGCTGGGCAGGAACAGGAACTGGGCTTGTGGCTAAAAACACTTAGACTAATTGGACTCCTCTGTATCCAATATCCTGGCTAAATTAGGATGTGAGTGGAAGAGTATATAAGGAGAGGTGAAGCAGAAATAGAGAGAGACTTCACAGACATCTACCATCCCTGGTCTCCTGCTGGTGCTTCATCCCCAGATCCTCTCCCTATCCACATTACTGGTTGGACCAAGCCAGGCTGCAGCACCCGCTGGTGGATACCGAGGTGAGGCAAGTTATGACAGTCAGGGAAGGAGGGTGCTGGGTCATGAGCCCAGGTGTTGGCACATCTGGCAGGGCGCAGGTTGCTTAGCCTGGGTCTTTGGCCCACCTGTGAGATGGGTGCTGGGTCTGGGATCCCTGGGAGCAGGAGGTCCAGCAGGGCCTGGGTTGCCTGGCCTGGGTCCATGGCCTACCTACATGGTGGGTACTGGGCCTGTGAGCCTCAAGGGTGGGGGGTCCAGTGGGACTCTGGTCTCCTGGCCCGGGTCCCTAGCCTGCCTGCATGGTGAGTGCTGGTCCATGAGCCTTGAGGGTGGCGAGTCCACCAGGGTCCAGGTCACCAGGCACGGATCCTTGGCCCACCTGCGAGAACTGGTCCTCCTCAGTGGAAAAGATGGAATAGTGGACAGCTGGCCCAGATCCACATGGAGGATATGGCAGCCCATTGAGCCCTGCAGGGGACATCTGTACCATCCCAGAGGAAGAAGGACAGAACAAATTAGACAACTACCCCAGTCAAACAATGACAGCAAATATCTGAGCAAATGGAGACTCTGAGGTCAACTGTGTCAGCCAATGGACATTGAAAGGGTTCCCTCATCCTTGGATCAGCGAGATCGACAACATTTCAGAACTATCGAAACCACCTGGACAGAACCCTTGGAGTATGTGCCACATTGGGACCCTGGCTTGATATCAAGTGGCCATTCTCCATCCCTGGGTACTGGAGCAGTTGGGAGGCTGGGTATGGCTTCTCCCCTTATTCCTCCCCACTCCATCACCCCAGAAACAAGAAGGAGAAACAGAAAATTTGGAAACAATGATCACACCCACTTTTCCCTAACCCTTGATCCATCCCACTCTGATCAACTATGTTAACATCATCTAAAATTAAAAATAAGTTAAAAAGAAAAAAATGTCGACTCCTTCATTGGTTAGCAAGGAAACGGGCACAGGAGAAAGTCATCCAGCTAGCAAGGAGCCTGTCTGGCTTTGGAGGTGAGGCACTGAGGAGCTAGGTGTCTTGCACTCCACTTCACTTGTCTGCAGCAGTGGAAGGCATCTGCCTGCCTAGTTCTGCACAGACTTGGGCCCCTTATTCATGACTGCCACACCAGCAGCAAGCCAGCTCCTCATCATCCTGCCAACCTCAAATTAGATTCCCTATCCTCTAGGGAATCTCCCCTGGCCACAACCTGCTCTAAGCTGGGGGCCACCACATGTAGTATATTTGCTACTCTTTCATAAAGGCCTGTCTGTGGGCAACACATGACCCAGCATAAAGTTAGCTGTCGGTGAATATTTGGTCAGTGAGGAAGAATCAGGTGCCAGCTGTTGCCTGCTAGAGTGTGTTTATTCATGAGAGCAGCAACGGAAGGGTCTGGGGTGGGGGCCCTATGTGCGAGAGAGCTGGTGGTCAGGATGTAGCAGCTTGCATGACGGATTCTGAAGCAGCTGGGGTGTCTGTGTTGCAGATGACTCTATCCTGACCCCCTCACGGGGGGGGGGTAGCCAACCTCCCCCAACCCTGTCCCAGGTGCCCTGGGCCAGCTGTCAAAGAGAACTGTTCTCTGGAAACAGGGAGACAAAAGTTAAGTCTGGAAGTGGGTCAAGTTGCAACGGAAAGGCCACTAGGTCTCAGCCCTGCCTTTGCTCATTCTCTCAGCAGTCATGGGGATGGGGTGCTCAGCCAGAGAGATTCTTAATTGATTTCACACTGAATATTCCTGGGAGCCAGGCATATGCTGATCCAAGAATACAAATCCAGCCCTGGCCAGAGGAGGCCAAAAGGAACTGTCCTGGGCTGGCCAGGGGCTCAGAGGAAGCTTTCAGTTCTGATTGTAAACAATACCCTCTTCTCCTCCAACCCCCTCAGTCTCTGCCCAACAGATGCTGGAGTGACTGGGAGGGGGTAGTGAATGCATGATACCCGGCTCCACACCCCACCAATGGGACTGTCGATGTTGCCAAGGTTCCTCTGGCACCACCCCCTGTCCTCTGATTGTTTTAAACCAGATCTCTGTTCCCAAAGCAAAACCCTGTCCATTTGGTCCAGCTGTCTTTACCCCCAGGGACAGGGGGCTGTTACGCAGCAGAGTTGGGGTCTGGAAAGGCGAGGTGTCATATGAAGAGTTTTGCAGAGTAAGAAAAAGACCCATCACCTCTGAGAGAGCTCAGCTGGCCCTGCTGGAGAAGGCAGGCAGACTTCCCAAGCCAGAGGACATATTGGCCAGTTTGCCAGACCCTGGACCAAACAATTGTATAAGTGCTACAGTATTGGAAAAAAAGAAGGAAGGAAAACTGGGGCATGATTGTAGTCTTGCTCAGGAGTCCAGAACATGCTCACCACTCCAGGAATCTCTGCAAATGGAAACTATGATCCTTGACAACAAACTTGACTGATGTGGGGTGTGCCTAGATGCCCAGCCCTGTAACTTCGGAGACCTGGCTCCACACCACCTTGTGACTGCTTCCCAACACCCCCTCTGCTCCTCTGAGCACCTGGATCACTTTACTGGCAAACACAGACAGGACTGTAGCCTTAGAATCCAAGTATACAGAATGTCTACCTATTGGCATCTTTACCTTGGACTTCAAGTAAGGATAAAAGTAAACATTAAGAAATCAGCATCCCAGTGTAATTGTAGATGCTGGGTGTTCTTTCTAAACTTGGTAGGGGAACTATGGTTATCCTCTCCACTGGACACCTTGACTTTGAAGATACCCTATAGGTTATCTAAGATTTTTTTAAAGTTTTTTTAAAGCTATTTAAGTTTTGAGTAGAAATATTGTGACTTATTTCTTTATGATTGAACTGTGAATAGAGGGCTTGCTTATATCATGCAGACCAATGGCAAGAGAAACATTTTCGGGCCTGGTGGTGTGGCCTAGCGGCCAAAGTCCTCACCTTGAACGCGCCAGGATCCCATATGGGTGCCGGTTCTAATCCCAGATGCTCCACTTCCCATCCAGCTCCCTGCTTGTGGCCTGGGAAAGCAGTCAAGGACGGCCCAAAGCCTTGGGACCCTGCACCCGTGTGGGAGACCTGGAGGGAGTTCCTGGATCCTGGCTTCGGACAGGGACAGCTTAGGCCGTTGCGGTCACTTGGGGAGTGAATCATCAAATGGAAGATCTTCCTCTCTGTTTCTCCTCCCCTCTGTATATCTGATTTTGTAAAAAAATAAATAAAATCTTAAAAAAAGAGAGAGATACATTTTCAATTCATTATCTGATCCTCAGCACCAGATTAGCCTTATTGCAAAGATGGGCAAAACCATGCAGAACAACCAGGAAGTACTTCTGCATTAATGACACTACATAAAAGACAGGCCAAGCTGTAGAGGTTTACCAGTGGCCAATTTCTGTGTTCTTTAAAAAAAATGAAAATAAAATAAATAGCACAAATAGGCTTTATTTTGCTATGTAGGGGCATATCAGTATCATGGGATGAGGAGAATAAGTCAAAGGCATGAGCAAATAAACAAGCCAATTGTACCAAACCAGATGTGTTTAAATTAACCAAGTGACAGTTTGTGCCTCAGTGTCAGAACGACTGTCACACGAGGTGGGGTAGGAAGCACCGTAACATTTAGTTGCTCAGGGGTTGCTGAGCAGCCCCAGAGAACCTCCAGGGGGCTGCTCCCTCAGGCTGGCGCTGGCCACCCCTCCTGGCCCGCTGCTGCCTCCTCAAGGACACTCTTCCTCGGCCAGTGCCTGCAGCAGGGGTCCTGGCTGGGGTGCTCTGGAGGTACTGGAAAGCACTCTGACGGCCCACCTGCCTCTCCACACAGTTAAAGGTGAGCGCCACGCCCACATTGCTCTTCATGATTCTGGAAGAGCCGTCAGACGTGCCATCAAAGCACCTGCCAAGCGCTATCTCCTTGGCTGTGCGGGGATCCTGGTCAGTGACTGTGTAGATACCATAATTGTGGCCTAGCGGGTCCAGGGGTGCCAGCATAGTGTACTCGCTGCTGTCGTTGTTGACCGCCAAGGGTAGGTGGTTGACCAGGTACTCGTGCAGCATGGAGTTCACGCTGACTCGCTGGCAGCTGCCCTGGGGGATGACTTTGACCAGGGTGCGGTCCACGCGGTCCTGGTCGTAGAGCATCCCACTGCACTTGAACTCCAGACATGCTGATGAGACATTAGGCTGGTCCCTATCTCGAGTGCTCTTCACATCTCGGATCCCGTACAGCTTCCCCACTGTCTGTCTGTGGGTACCCCCCATGTTGCGAGATCGCACATTCACCTCCAGCGGTCCCACAATCTTCACCTTAATGTAGCAGGCCCTGAACTCCATTGGCTTGGGCCACCACGCTAAGTAATCTTCAGTCCAACCCATGGGGTCATCTTCATTGAAGGGGACCGTGTTGTAGTCATACCGATCTCCCTCAACCTGGTAGAACCGGAAGTGGGCTGCACTGGGAGGTGCCTCCTCACAGGCCCTAAGATTCTCAAAGGCATAGATGGGCCCATTGCTCTCCTCAGCTGAGTTGGGCCTTGGCTTGGCCATGCTGATCTGGAACGCTGTCTTTTTAACGCGTGGGTCCTCGTGGTCTGTCCGACGATACTTGAGCTTGTTGAGGTAGGGCTGGGGCACGCCAATTGCATTTGGATTAAATTTGGGAAAGGACTCTACTGCTTCCAATTCCTCCCCAGCCAGACTGGCCAAGACGTAGGCGGAATAGGCATCAGGGGACTGGTCGTCACAGAAGGCAGGCAGGCAGGCTCCATTGGGGCCTGTAATGACACTGTCGAAGCGGCCCCAAGCCCTAGGGTTGGATGAGAAGCCAGTTCTTGGCTCCAGGTTGATCACAGAGACCACGACCCCCTGGATCTGCTCGCTGGGCAGGAACCTCTCACTCCGATAGGCCCTCACCTTAACAAAGCACCTCCGGCTTTCAGGGACATCCAGGTTAAACAGCCTCCTCTCCCGGATCTCCAGGTTACCCACCAAGAACGTTCTCTGCTCCCTTTTGTTCCTCCCTGGGCTCTCCAACAGGAAATCACCTTCCTCCTCCCATAGCCCCGTGTCAGGGTTGAGTGACCAGAGTTTCATGGCAGACAGATGCTCTGGCATCTTGACCTGGGTCGAGTCAAGTCGGACTTTCACCTTGCCAGCATTAAGTGGCTTTGCCGTGGCCTCCTCTGTGAAGTCCACTGAGAACATACCGTATGTCCGAAGGGGCAAGGTATCTCCCTCATCATTGACAAAGTTCAGGTCACTCTGAGCGGCTGTGGCTGTGGAAACATCACGTGGATCCAGGAAGGTAACACTGGCCTTCACTTTACCAGCATAGGGCTCCCCGTTCTGCTGGAAGAAGCTGTTGGATGGGATCTCCAATTCGGCCATGGGATCTTCGCCATCCACTTCCCCCAGGGGGATGACGTTGGTCTCCGTGGCTTCCAGGATGATGGGCTCTTTCTGGCGAAGCATCTTAATCTCATGGAACACAGCACTCCCCTTCCTGTTAAAGGGCAACACTTTGGTGGTGTTGACAAACTTCTGCAGTCGGTCCACAAACGTGAGTACCAGCCTCTCTGTATCCTGAGGTACGTGCAGTGTGAAAGTGCCCTTGTAGCCAGTCATGCTTACACGGTGGCCCCCCAGGTATACATGGCCAAAGCGCATGGGCTCCCCGGTGTCCGCTGCACTGACGCGGCCCCGCACAATGCTCCTTGTCTCCGTGCATCGCTGGCAGCTGCACTCCGCAGCCACCTTGGTGGGCAGCGTGTACCCATTGCATTGGATTTCCCTCTCCTCAGTCTTGGAAATGCCACAGCAGTTCTCCACAGCATCCTGGCACCTGAGGCCGTGATCCTGCTGTCCGGCACAGGTCTTGACTGGGCAGCGGCCCACGTCATAGTAGAAGGAGTTGGTGGCATTCTGGAAGCAGTCATGGGGCAGCCTGATTAGATAGCTCTCAGGGACTGGGTTGCAAGGAGCCGCATCAGGCGCTGTGGAGGGAAATGGAATGTGTACTAAGATGTAAGTTCATGTTCTACTCAAAGGGCGCCTACTCTAGAATCACCTCTCTGCTTTTCAGAGACTATGGATGCTCACAGAGCTCTCAAGAAAGGGAGATGGAGCAGTTCCTGCTAAGCCTATTGAGTACTTATGGAAACAACACTGGTTTGCTAAGACCACTAGAGTGGTTCTCAATGACATGGTCTTGAGAAAATTTGGGGGTGTTTTAATGAGGGGTGCTGCTGGTATGGACTGGGGCCGTGGATGGTTCAGGTCCTACAACACCAGGCACTGTCCTGCCAGAAGAGTTTTCCTGTCACCTGCATGGCCTTCCCATTTATGTGGGAAGATATTTAGAGCCTGTTTAAGATGATCGGAGCCTAGCATATTTTACATGGCTTTAATTACACACTAATTTTTGAAAGGATGCGAGCTCCCCAAGTGAACCAAGTGAACTCCCCAAGTACCCACAACAGCCAGAGCTGTATCAATCTGAAGCCAGGAACCAGGAGCCTCCCCAAGTCTCCCATGCGAATGCAGGGTGCCAAGGCATTGGGCCATCCCCCACAGCCTCCCCAGGCCACAAACAGGGAGCTGGAAAGGAAGTGGAGCAGCTGGGATACGAACTGGTGCCCACATGGGATCTTGGTGCATGCAAGGCAAGGACTTTAGCCACTAGGCTACCATGCCTGGCCACATCCCCTTGCTTTCTAAGAACAAGTTCTTAGTTGGTTTTCAGTCTCAAGCTTCCCCTACCTCCAACTTTAAATTTCAATCAAGTCACTCTTTCTTTATAAGGCTTCCCTGCTTTCCCCACTCCTGTTCTTTTGCTCACATCAGTCCATGGCTACAAATCAGAACCTCGTGGGCAATTTTAAACCATGCAGGCTCAAACCATATCCCATGCAGGCCAATTACATCAGGCTCTCCAGGAGGCCAGATGGAGGCATCTATATTTAAAAACAAACAAACAAAAAAACCCCACTCAATCAATAGTGCTAATAGGCACCCCTGGCTGAGAACCATTATTTAAGGCCTAGTAGAAAAACTACCCCTTAGCACAGCCATCTATGGGCACTCCTTTCTGGTAGGTATCATTCTCTCATGCAGTTAAAAGTTCATGGTACTTTATCTCCTGTTTTAGCTGCATTTTTCCATCTTTATTTATATTACTTCACCCCCTCCTCAAAAGATGACTGTGATGGCAAGAATCAGGTTCCACCTATGTGTGCTGGAATGCACAGCAGACAAACCTAAGTTCTTACTGCTCAATTGTGTCCATTGGGCTGTGAGCCCCACTGCAGAGTCAGGACCCCTAGGAACTCAGACAGACTTACCTATGACCATCAGCTGGGCAACCCGGGATTTCACAGCCCCAGCATCGCTCTGAGCCTTACAGAAGTACTCCCCAGCCTGGTCCTGCTGCAGGTTCCTCATCACCAGCTTACTCTCATGCTTGTAGAGGGAGGGATCCAGCAAAGTGTTGTTGTGGTACCTGCCAGTAAAGAAGAGGTAGAGCCTGAATGGGCAATGGGGGAGCGGGCATCTCAAATGATGGTGCCAGGAGTAAGCAGCCAGGGACAGGCGGCTTGACAAGAAATATTCTTATAGTTGCCAGTGCCACCTTGGATTCAGCTCATTCGAGAGCACTAATTGGCTTAAAGGGTTAAGTTCAAAGCCCAGCCCCAGTACATAACTGGCAATAGATCCTTGGACAAATCATTTCACCACCCCCTCTGATCCCTGAGCCTCAGCCTGCTGGACCATAAAGTGGGAGCAATAATTTGATCTCAGAAACATGATAGTGGCTGTAAAATGTTGGTAAAGAGTGAAGGACCCACAACCATTGGGGAAATACAGTGAAGGAAGCTTGGTCTGCTTTCTGGGGAGATACCAATCAAGACTCCAAGACCAGAGACGCTCTGGGAGACCCCTGCTTTCAGGGGTCTTACTGACTGTCTGAGCAGCCTCCATCACATTGGCTTCCACCTGTAAGTACCAGCCAGACTCCATATGGTGTCTTACTTGCAACTTGATCCTACTGACTAGTATGACTATTACTATTCATAAATCCAGACCCAACACAAGAAAGCTCTGGTCTCTGAGAGGGAAGCTGGGCCAGGTATCCAGCTGAAGACGTACCAGAAATACTTCTCTGGATTGGGCTTCCCCGTGGCCTTACAGCACAAGGACACACTCTGGCCAGCTCTCCGTGCTTTTGTCTGGGGACTTGTCACCATGTATGGAGTCTCTGTAGCAGAAGATAAAGAAGAATGCTCTGCTTGTTCTGTGTGACAGGTTTCAGAGTGCCTTGCTTCCTCAGGGTCTTGGATGGCTTTTACATCGTATGGCTGTCCCCACCTCCACCCTGTCCACCACCAGCCCTGATACCTAAGCAAGCAGGTTTCAGACTGGAGGCTACCTCCTCTTCATCCTCAGCCTCCCAAGCAACACCCAAGAGGGAACCAAGGGGATTTTGTACCCACCAAGATTCCCAAGCACTCCCACTGGAACAGGACTGGCTGTTTGTGATAATGCAGTAGTCATGTTCTGCTGCCAACAGCAGAAATTTTTGGCGATTTGCTTTCCCCACCCCCACCCCTGCCACCAATAGTGTGCTTCTCTCTGTGACCTACAAACCTCACACCAAGGTGCTCAGGGAAGACCTCATGCATTGGATAGGGCAAATTATGCAGGTATCTGATGGACCAAAATAGAAAGCAGAGTCCATGGCATAAGTGCAAAGGCCCTGGGTGAGAGTTAGTGTGTTTGAGTGACAGTTGGGAAGACATGATGGCTGAAGGAGAGTAACCCAGTGTGGAGAGTGTATTAAAGGAGAAAAGAGAGGTAATGGCTCGGGTGGTGGGGGATCTGGAATCATGGCTTGCAACCATCATAAGGATTTGGAGTTTTACTGTAGAAAAGGTGGGGAAGCCAACTTTTGGCACCATGACCCTCTTATTGGATACTCTTACCCTCCTCACCAGCCCTACCCCAGAGCATGTGGTTACCTGCTCTCACGAACTCAGCATTGACGGTAGCTGCTTTCAGTCTAGTCTTAGGCATTGTGAGCATAATGGGAGCAAACTTGGTCTTTGTAATCTTCAAGACACTTTGACCATCAGGGCACAAACCAGGGACACGAAACCTCCCATTGCTGTCGGTCTGAGTCAGCAACTTAGGCTTCTTGGTCAGTAGGTAGACGGTAGCCCCTGGGGCTGGGGCACCGCCAGGGAGGGAGACAACTCCATGAAGTGTGAAGTCCTGGCACATGCAGGCATCGCAGTCAGCATTCACTTTCCCCATGGAGCAGGTCAGGTCACATGCTGCAGAACAAGGGACCACATCAGCAGGACTCACGTAGATCCCAGCTCTTCTGCAACCACAGTCCGACCTGCAGGTTCAAATGTGCTTCCCCTTACACTTTATGCCTTTGCTACTCTTCCTTCTCCACCTGCATCACTACCTCTTACTCATCCTTCAAGACTTAACCCAGGCTACCCCTTCTAGAAAGTGCCCCTGGAGAGACCGGTGTTGTGGCCCAGTGGATAAGACACTTCTTGTGTCACCGGCTCTGCTTCTTATCCAGCTCTCTGCTAATGGTCTGGGATGTCACAGACAGATGGATCAAGTACTTGAACCCTTTCTACTCAAATGGCAGATCTGAATGGAGTTCCTGATCCTACCCTGGTTGTTACAGCCATTTCGGGAGTAAACTAGCAGGTGGAAGATTCTCTCTCATCCACTTCGTTAGATAAATAGTTTTAAAAATAAATAGAAAGCTTTCCCTATTTCCTCAAGCTTTGATACTTGACCCTGCGCTGTGTTCCTATATTATCTCATATATTCCCATCAGAGCATGTAACAGATGCTCAGTTAACATTCAATGAGTGACTGATAAAATCCATCCCTGACAAGCCTTCTAACCCATCCATCTAGGCTGTGCCAGCAGAGGACAGTACCTGTACAAGCCTGGGACACACAGAGCCGGCCTTCCTCAGTGGCCTCGGTGCACAGTGACATTGTCTCTGCCAAGCAGGCGCGTGTGCGGGTCTGCACGCCAGTCTGGCCACAAGCAGCTGAGCACTTGCTCCAGGCAGACCAGGAGCTCCAGATGCTCTCTGAGTCCCGGCGCAGGGACCCTGCAAAACACAGTCACAGACAGTCTGACCTTCCTCCCACAAGGGCCCTGTTAGGAAACTGATCCTGAGGCTCCTTCTGATGGGGTTGGATCATCGATGTCATGGATGTTTGCATTTGCTGCAATGACTTTTTTTCAACAGACAGGAGTCACAGTTCTGGCACTCAAGGGTTAGTGGAGGCCTACACAGGGCTGGCAGCCAAGCACATGAACTTTGGCTTGCTACCCTAGGGTGTATACACGATCCCCACATTACTTCTCCATCTGTGGGGGAATTGCCACATATTCCTGCAGAAGTCAGGGCCTAGGATCTGTGGGGACTTGGACATCTAACATCCTTTGCTCACCTGCTCACCTCCAGTCTATCGTCCCAGACCTCATCCAGAAGACCAGCCTGAGTATTCCCTCCGTGTGACCACCACTGGCACTTGGCCTACCAAGTCAGGCTGTGTAGACGGGCAGGACCCCAGATGGGAGGGTGCCCATCTAAGCTCACCTGCCCCCACTCCATGTCTGTATTATCCAGTGTGTATGGGAGGGAGAAAAGGATGAGAAGAACATGATCTCTGAAAGCACAAAGGACCCACATCCCAGCTCTGCAACTCTCAGCCTGCAATCACAAAAAGTTACTCAACCTTTCTTAGCTTCATTTAACTTGTCAAGATGGAGATGCCTGAGGCCAGCATCATGACACAGCAAATTAAACCTCCACCTGCAATGCCAGCATACCATAAGAACACAGGTTCCAGTACTAGACTTCACTTTAATTCCAGCTCCTTGCTAATGTGCCTGGGAAAGCAGCAGAAGATGGCCTAAGTGTTGGGCCCCTGTTACCTCGGTGAGAGACCCAGATGAAGCTCTGGCTTTGGTGTGGCCTAGCCCCAGCTGTTGCAGTCATTTGGGGAGTGAAGCAGCAGGTGGGAGATTCTCTCTCTCTCTCTCTCTCTCTCCTGTGTGTGTTTGTGTGTCTATGTGTGTGTAACTCTGCCTTTCAAATAAAATAAATTAATTTTTAACTGAAATTTCAGATTTCTGAGAAGCCAATTGTAAAGGCTGAATAATATGGATAACTCAGGTGGATCTGTCATATCAGGACAGTGTAGAAACTTAACATTCCATCAGCATTTGCTCAGATCAAGCCCTTTGCATCAATTATCTCATTTAATCCTTATAAAAACTTCTAAAGAGATGCGTGATTCCTTATTCTGCACATGAAGAACCTGAGCCTAAGAGAATGTCAGGAAGTTTCTGGATGGAACATGGTCCACATGGTAGGTATAGGATTTAGTCCCAAGCAGCCTGACTCCAGAGTCAGGGGTCTTCACCACAGTGTCACTCAAACTCAACATGACAGGTTGCTCAGAGAACACCTAAAAATGTGGAACTCTGTGGGAAAATTTCCAGCACTAACAGCATGGCATGACTCATTGTCCTGAGTTCCTGCCACCAGAGGCAGCCTCTGGCCTCTCCCTGTGCCATGGCTGGTAGGAAGAAATGGTTGGGGACCACCTAGGCTCACCTGGTGGGCAGAGGAAGCGCACAGTGTAATTGGAGCAGTTACGGCCCTGCCGCTGTTCCTTGTTCAGGCACCAAAAGCCTTCGTGGGGGCTGCCATGGACCACCTGGCCATTGCTGCCCGCGGGCATCCAGTCAGTGGTCCGAGCCTCTAGCCTCAAGGGACGGGCACACACACGATCACCGTAGTAGAAACGAATGGCATCTAGCCGCTCATAGTCGCCCAGCCCACCTGGATGATCAATGTTGAACCATGTGGTCCACTCGCCACTGGGACCTGTGACAGAGACAGATTAGCAGGAGCCATCTCTTAGTGCCCCAGGCGACTTCCAGCCACTTCCTGCTCAGCCCCTGGGCATCATCCCTGGGACCTCTTACACCCCTGACCCTGGGATTCCCCCCTCCTGGCTTCTCTATATCCCCACTGCCAAGATTTCTATTCAAGTTCTCATGGGCCTGGGTGAACCAGTCAGTAGCTTCCTGTCTGATCTGATCTCTGTGCTTCAAGGGTCGCCCTGTACCCCAGTGATGCCCCTTCCCGGCACAGTTGTCAGGGTGAGCTTGCTCCATGGATTGGGCCACACCACTCTTCAGCTAGCTACTGTCACCATGCCATCCTCATCTCCCCTGCTCCCTCCCTGCCAGGCTGTGCCCTGGCCCCAGGCAGCTGGGTATGACGCCTGCAATGGATTAGGCAGCTTCATGATTCTGAGATGTCCTATACACTAGGCCTCTCTCCCTGGGCAGATATATAGGCCAAATGTCATGTAAAAATGGACAAGCACTTGGCACCACAGAAGAGACACCATTTGGAATGCCCTCATCCAGTATCGGAGTGCCCTGGGCTCCGCCTCCACCCCAGCTTCCTGCACATCCAGGGATGCAGCTGGGAAGGCTCAAGGGATGGCTGCCAGTTCAAGCTCCAGGCTTCTGATTTGAGCCTTGCCCAACCTCAGGTATTGTGGGCATTTAAGAATTAAGCAATGGATAAAACAACTATCTCTCCAATTAGTAAATATATATATATATATATTTTTAATTAAACACACACACAATCTTTTGCAGTGGGATTGCAGAAAACCCTGAATTGTCTTAAGAATGACCTTCTCCCCCATCCCCCACCCTGTATTCTGCTCGTTGTGCTCTCCTCATTGCCCCACCACTCACTGTCTGGAGGGTTAGCAGGCTTGGCCAAGACACTGGGTGTCCTCTTCCCAGGCTGGACTCTTCTCACAGACTGGGTGAGCATCATCTGCCTCCCTGAGGGCAGAAGGAGAAGAAGTTGAACCATTAGTGGGGACCAGAATGAAAAGAAAGATACAGGGGCCTCATCCGGCAGGGGAGGTTCCTACTGGGATTCAAATCCTTCCTCCACCACTTACTGCTGTACAACCTTAAAAGAGTTTTAGTCTTCAGAGCTCATTTCCTGGTAACATAAAGATGCATTTGCAAGTTATTGTGAATGTAAAGGGACCTGGTATGTGGCACATGCTCAGAGAAAGAACATTGCCTTCCACTTGGTCCAGAAAACCCATCACAGATACTGGCACTGTTGCTGGCACTGTTGAGCACCCTCAGGCTGTGGCTCCCATGTCCGTGTCTGGACCTGTCCTTCTTGGCAAAATGGGGCCTCATTCTGTTCTTGATTCCCTTTTCCTGGGGATTGCCATGAGGCCTCAAGGAAATCAAAGGAAAACCTCTCTGAAATACATGAAGATTGAGAGTATGGTCTCTAGAAGCCCCATCCCTTCCTAACCGTGTGACCTGGAACAAGTGACTTAGCCCAGCTGACCTCGTGTTTTCTATCCAGCCATGAGGATGAGAATAGTTCCTACCATGGAGGACTGTTCACCAAGTCCACTAAGAGCAACACCTTACATGACGTGGATGCCGAGTGACATGTTAGTAACTCCTTTTAGCTCAGTGCTGTGCACAGAGCTGTACCAATTCCCTTCCCTTGGCAAAGTCCAGCTTTGTGACTCCACCCTCCCATGAAGGATGGGAATGGCCTCATTGAGAGAGTGTCCTCAATTTTCTGACCCTAGCTTGACTGGGTCTACCTAGGGATGGGTACAAGATCCTCAGGGTGCAGGAGGTCCCCGTCCTGTCCCACCCAAGGCTGGCTTGGGAGCTGCAGAATGGAAGTGGTGGGGGGAGGGAAAGCAGAGAGCTGCGAAAGCTGGGAGAGATGAACTCTCGTGGCAGAAACCAATTCATTCTGCTGCTTGATTGGGATGATGGGAGTACTTTTTCATCAACCTAATCTGATTGCCTCTCATTTGGTTGCATGCTAATCATCTCCACACACAGCAGCTGGCACAATGGAAAGAGCCAGACAGGGGGCTGAGCAGCTGGTGGCTTACATAGCCTCTATTCTGCATCTGTGGTCACAAAGCTCATGGGGACAGGCAAACGATTTTAAAGCTCTAACCGAGTGTGTGGTTAGAAATCAGCAGGGAAGCGGAGGTGGGAGGGGGCGTCCAGGGCAGGGCTGAGAGCTTTGTCTGGAGGGTGAGCAGGTGCACTAGGCTGAGTCTCTCTACCTGGATGTCCCTTTCAGAGCTCAGGAACACCAAACAGGGACAGATCAGAGGGCAAGGAGATCAGCAGGAGTGTGGGCGAGGAGTCTGTGAAATTTGGCTGCATGATCCAAAGGACACGAAGCTTTAGGCCAGAAACATTTCCATGAAACTAAAAACAGACCAACACCCAAACCTTGCTTTGGAGAACCCAGCCAGCCCCTGCGATTCCCTCTAGCTTTGGCTGCCAAGAATGTCAGAGCTAAATTTAGTGTTCAGGGCCATCCACCCTCTTCCTTGCCTCCTCCCCTGCTCATCACTCTTGTCATTCAAGAGGTTTTCCATGGTGAGTTTTAATATTGGGAACTGTTTCTGTTTTTTTGCTTTTGTTTTTGTTTGTTTATTTTTAGGAGAAGCAGGCAGGGTGTGTGTTATTAGTAAATCCATAAAATGGCCTCAATTCCTAGGGCCATCATTATATGCTAAGGTAGATGCATGATTGGACCCCAGACCCGCTACGACTTCACTATAGCAAGTGGGAGACCTAGGAGCTGGCAGATACTTAGCCGGTACCCAGCACGGAGGTGATTTCCAGGAGCAGGAAGGAGAATATCCAGGCCTTGGTCCCTGCCATCTTTTCCCCAGGTCTTCTCAGGAGTAGAACAGGAGACAAGGACAGTGCTTCATAGAAATGTGGTCCCCTGGGCAGGTTCTCAGATCCAGTGACCTGCAAAGAAAAACAGCTTCAGGTTCCCCATTTCTGAGTTGTCACCTCTTATGCATCAAGCAGAACTATTACTTGACCTGTCAAAGAAAGATCGTTGGAAGCATGGACAGAAGGAAGTCCTCAGGAGTGGCACTGGCCCAAGTTGTGATGATGGGTGGCTTCGGAGGGGCAGAGCCTCAGACTCCAAGTTTAACTGAGACAGAGCTTGGTTCTGGTCCTGAGTCCTGGCTCCAGGACTCCACAATAACATCAGGCACAGGGGAGAGCAGAAGTGAGAGAGAGAGCTTCAAAATAACGCACCCTGAGGTGCATCTGTTCCATCTCCCTTTGGTGGGGCTCACCTTCTTACCTTACAAAGGATCATACTGATTCTTTGTAGCCCTAGACCCCACCCTGATAGAGGAGGCAGTCTAGAGGGCCCACTGGCTCAGACACAGCACCTCCATGAACACATTCCCAGATGTGCATGTTGCAGCTGGAACACATTGCGGGGCTGCTTGTTTGGGGCCTGGTTGGGAGTCATGCAGCTAGGAACCAGCTGAGGAAGAGTGGAAGGGGGTGCACTGTTGAGGATCCAGAGCTCCCCAGTAATGTAAGTACAGTTTAGGGGTGAGGGGCTGCAAGAATGGACAGAGGAAGACAGGCCTGGCAATGAGGGTGAGGAACTGAGGGGCACACATGGCCCAGACTCAGCAGAACATGTTTCTGTTTCGGCAGAGCTCTGGACGAATCCAAAGCTAGACAAATTCCAGGGGATTCCAAAGTGGTTCCTTCAATCTCCAAAGCTCAGGGCGTGGTAGGAAAAGGAAGATTCTTCCCCTCCAGAAGAAAAATCCAAAAGTACATGGATGTCCCAGGGGAAGAGAAAAGCAATTCTATGTAACAGATCTCCTAGTTAGAAAACCCGCTCCACTTCCCACCCCACCTGCTGCTCAGATAGGAATGGGTTCCAAGGTCTTAATTAATGCCTTCAAGTTTTATCTGAGCTCCTGAGACCCTGCAATACCATTCAGCCTGAGCCTGCTCCGGGGCCATCTGAGAGGCCAGGATTGCCGACAGTACCTTGTGGAAAAGCCATTTCCCATCTGGCAACCCACAGAGGTTGCTCAGTTCCCCACCTTCCCCCATTTCCTTGGCATTTTCCACGATGGCTAGGTCTCCCGGCCCACGCTCTTCAAAAGTCCTGGAAAAAGCAGACTGGCTGAACGCAGGACAAAGCTGGGTGCCCACAGGTAGAGAGACCCTCGGTGAAACCATTTGGGGTGCTGGGTGCTCCTGGCCTCACTTGGGGGAGGGAGGGAGAAGACTGGGAGGTGATGGAAGAGATGCAAGTAAGAAGGGGTGTCTTCTCTGTGGGAGATAATGGATCAGCCAGAAGTGAGGGGATGGGGAGCTCAGCGGAAGGTAGGAGGAACAGCAGAGCCAGAAAGCTGAGTGCAAGCAAGGGGCTGAGAGGAAAGGAGATGCAGCTCACCGGGTCTGGAACAGGACTTGGCAGCTGGGGGTCCGAGTATTCGCCTCCGCAGCCGTCCTGCCTCAGGCCCTTATATAGCACAGCTGGTGGCTCAGGCTGTGTGGCAGCCAGCCATGGGGAGCAGCAGCGAAACCAGATCTGAGCCTGGGCCTCCCCTCCCCTTGCCACATCCCCTGCAGTTCTCAGAGGCCAGGATTTCACATCCATAGCATTATGGGGAGATGCCGCAAAGCCTGGTGAGGGGCCAGGTGGGCTGCTGCCTGGGGCTCCTGGGGCCAGAGTCCAGAGACAGAGAGGTGGTCGGGAGGTACAGTGGGTGCTGGGAAAGAACCAAAGGGAATTCCACATCTGGGCAGTTATTTTGGGACTCTCACTGACCACCCCCCCCCAAACTTCCTTAGCCCTGGCACATGGCCAGTCTTAGCACAGCCCCCAAACAGATCCACAAGCGGCCTTAGCCACTCAGCTGGACATCAGCAACCAGAGTTGGGCCACTGCTGGGCACCTTGGGTCTCTGAGGTAAGCACTCAGTGAACTTCTGAAGGGAAGAGGGGCAGAGGAGTGGTGGGGGCACAGGAAGACACCTGGTGAGAGCAGTTCTTTCTTGCCCCTTCCTGGCACCTGCCTGTACACATGGGAACACCAGAGCTCCAGCAAGTGGACCCCTCTGACTTGCCAGACACTCTTGTCCTACCTGAAGCATCTTCCAAAAGTTAACAGAAAATGTGTATTTCAAAAAACCTAGGCAGGGATTCCAAATTTTTTGGCACCAAGATAACCTTAACTTTTAATGCATTCTCCTTGAACTTTTTGAGGTCCCTTCACACACGCATATATGTGCGTACGTGTCTGACCTCCTGTCTGGGTGTCCCCCAGCCTGTGGCCAGCTGAACTTACAGGTGGTGTAAGCAGCTGCCTGTGTCTTGGGGCTCCATCAGCCCCACTCTCTACCCTAGGTGAGATTGCCTAGGATAATCTGCTGCTGCTGCTGCGACTTAGACAACTTTCTCAGAGTTGCTGATCACTAGGACAGAGCCCAGCTGGAAGCAGAAGATGAGGTAGGAGGGTTTTGGGGAGCACAGAGGGAGCTCTTCAGGCTCTGCTGTATATTCTTTGGCTCATCCAGCTTGGGCTGGGCTTCCTGCCTCATACCAGCACTGAGAGATGGAGGCCTGTTCCTGTGGCTGTCCACAGCAGGTAAACTCTTTCAACACACCTACACTGAACTCTTTCCCAGAGCAGGGAAAGTGAACTTTCCAGAGCAGGTTAAGGTGACCCTCATGGGCTGAGATTCCGGGTAGTTTGATGCGGGGGGAGCACCCTTTGTCTAGGTTGCTCTCCTCTCTGTCCCAGTTGACTGGGCCCAAGTGGGAACAGCCAAGGAATAGCCCAGCCAAACCACAGAATATTCAGAAACAGCTAATCATTATTGTGAGTCACATGGTGTCAGCGCAGTTTTATGCTGCAGCAGATAACTGATACACACACTAAGTCTCTTTCAGTTGCAAGTGATTGAATCTGTGGGGTGTAACAAACTAGTGTCATGCAAGCCACTAAGATGTAACGTGCTCTGTTACAGGTCACTGGTAACTGAACCAGAGGCCATTCCTGTGTAGTGCATTCCATTAGCTCCATGCATACTCCTTGACTAGTGTCCCCAATGGAGAGAATGTCTCTTTCTCAGTTGTTTCAGCAAAATTTCCTTGGGAAAGTTCTCATTGGCTCATTGTTGACCTAGCCCCTTTAAACTTGGAGAAGGAAAGCTCTGATCAACCCATTTCTGGAGCCAAGGGTAGATTAGAACCCATTGGGATCATGTGAACTGATTTTTTTTTTCCTCAAAAGAAAACTGTGATATAGCTACCAGAAATAAAAAGAATAGATTCTGGGAGGTGAATAATAATGCATTTGTACTGAATCCACAGCCACAAACCAAGTGCCTTCTTCCTAGAATGTCTGGTTTATTGACCTTGATATCAACAGTCAGGAGCTAGGTCTAGCACTATGGCATAGCGGGTAAAGCTTCCACCTGAGATTTCCACATCCCCTGTGGGTGCCAGTTCAAGTCAGTTGTTCCATTTTGAATCCAGTTCCCTGCTGAAAACAAGGTGCTGTGTATGAACACCATAGGGATGCAGAGGTAACCCTGTTTTAAGCCTGAGGAGCATTCTGTGGTAACCACATTAAGCAGAGGAAGGAGAGTTCTCCGGGGTATGTTGAGGGGGAGGTGCTGTGGCCCATGCGCTAAGAATCTGCTCTCCCCTGGCTTCGACTTGGCTCAACCCTGGCCATTGTGGTCATCAGAGGCGTAAACCATGGATGGAAGAGTTTTCTCTCTTTCTTTCTCTCCCTCCTGTTTTCTCTCTCCTCTGTTCTTCCCTCTTTTTCTATAACTCTGACTTTCAAATAAACACATCTTAATATATATAAAGTCAGATTTATAGAGAGGAGAGACAGAGAGGAATATCTTCCATCCACTGATTTACTCCCCAAGTGGCTGCAATGGCTGGAGCTGAGCTGATCTGAAACCAGTAGCCAGGAGCTTCTTCTGGGTCTCCCATATGGGTGCAAGGTCCCAAGGCTTTAGGCTGTCCTCTATTGCTTTCCCAGGCCACAAGCAGAAAGCTGGAAGGGAATTGAAGCAGCCAGGATATGAACTGATGCCCATATGGGATCCCAGCGCATGAAAGGTGAGGACCTTAGTCACTAGCCTACCATGCTGGGCCCATCAAATAAGTAAATCATGAAAAAAAAGGGTGAAAGGAGGATTTGCCTCCCAGTCTTCCTGGCCACTCTCTCCAGGGGTTTGCTAGCATGTTCAACAATCTCACTGTGCATCAGCCAGATTGTACTACTAGGCTTCCCATAACCCCAGATCTCTTCCCATAACCCCTAGACAGGGCCTCCACGGCTCTGAGTATGGGATGGCTTCAGCTCTGACCATGACAATGTTGGGAGTTCTGGGCAGTGTTGTGTGGGGATGAGGGGAGGTGGATGCTGGTGTGTGCTCTCCTTAGCTGTGTGTTCTTCATGTGTCTGTTATTGGCTAGAGCTGAAGAAAGCTGAGAGTGAGGAGCAGAGTGTTTTCCCACACAACATCTGGGTTGTATGACTTGGTTCCTTTCCAAGTTTACTATCAGCCCTATAGCAGGAAAGGCGAGCTGGAAAATAGAAGGGCTGGGCTGGCCCTTGGTGACAGTGCAGGACAGAGGGTTAGTGAGACATGGAAACCCTTAGAGACCATTCTTACTGGATTCCCTCTTTGTTCCCACAAACTAAGCACTATGTTCGGAAACTAGAACATTGTCCATCCCCACAAGAGCAACAGCTTTGAGGGCAAATTGTTGGGCAGTGAGAGAGGGAGAAGTAATCTGAATCCCAAGCCCAATTGGCAAAATTAAAGTTATAATTCTCTACTGACTGAATAGTCCTA